AAGAAGCACCCAAGTCTCCCGGCCTGCCGTTGGACGTGCGGCCCACAGAGGCGCGCAGAAAAGCTTTCGCCTTTCCGAGCCCTGTGTGGGCCACGCGCCTCAGGAGCACCTCTGGGGCCGGCGCCTCCAAAGTGATCGGCGCCAGGGGGCTCAGACAGACCGGGAGGAAGGGGCGCCCTCGACTTCTCCTGCTCGAGGAAACGCTCCAGCCGCACTTGAACCTTGCCACCTTGCACACTCTTGCGGCAAGGCTTTTCAAACCACCGAGAAGGTGTGTCAGCTGCGTTGCGGGCAGTCTCAACATGCCTCAGCCGCCATCGGATTGAACAGCCCGCCTGGAAAGCAGCAGCTCGCCTGCAGAGCCTGTTAAGAACAGTAGAGCCCGACCGTCCTTTCTCAAAGGCGCTGACAACTCCAAGATTGTCGCAGAGGGTCAGCTTGCGACATGTTTAGAGGGCTGGCAACCCGGGCAGTCCGTGCTAAGCTTGACAATGCAACGCGGCCTTCTTTGATGGTGATGTGCTCGCCTGCACGCCGCCATGGCCGTGCCCACAAAAGCTTGTAATTCTCCCCGCTTGTCAACGCATCGGGGAGCGGCTCAACAAGGGCAGGAACTTCGACATCAATCCGCTGTCTCCGTTTGGCTCGAAGCTGAGCTCGAATTGCGGATGTCCGAAGCCACGAGCCTTCTTTCAGGCACTCCTGCAACCACTTGCCGTACTCGGTGGTAAGCCCAAGCCCTGCACGAACATGGCCTGCGTGTCCCAGAGCAAGCTCTCCTTCTACCGCCGCGATTTCCTTGTCATACTCACCACCGCCAAGGGCGCTGAGAGCCCCGTTGATGTCCACAGACGAGCCGCTCATGACGGCATGTCTCAGCGGCTCCGGCATCGGGGCGTATCTCCACTTTTCCCGAAACTTCAAGGCTCGTCTGATGACAGTGCGGTCTGCATCCATTGTCATGAGGGCATAGCCGAAATCGGCAGAATCGCCAACATCGACCTGTCTGATCGTTGGTGAGTCAAGCCGCGCAGAAGTCAGCCACACCAAATTAGCGGCGACCAAAATCTCGCGCCTCACACAAGGCCACAATGCGATGCGCCGCCCTCGTCCTTCTTCGACAAACCGATATATTTTGTCAAAGACAGACAACAAGTGGGGGGTAATGCGAAACAAAGAAGTGATATGCCCTAGCCACACTTCTGCAACTTCGCCCCGCACTTTGGGGCGGCGCGCCAGCTCTTTGCCCGCAAGGTGAACCCGCCAAAGTCTGTCAGCCTTGTTCTCAACTGTCTTCTCGGAGAAGCTTATCTTCACCCCAACAGTTTCAAGAGTCTGAACAGGTTCAGGATGTGACCAAACTAGTGGAATGCCAACACTGCGGAAGCCCTCTGCGACAAGGCGGCTCCTGTCAGTGACATCCTCCTTGAACCAACCCAAAATGGCAATGTTGTCAACGTAGTTCGAAGTGACAGTGCGAAAGTGTGCCAGCTGAGGGACAGGGAGTTTCTCTTTCATTTCACTGCCAGGCGTGCCGCCGCAAAGAGAGACTTGATACGCTATGGCTTCGTTGGCCAGGTACAGTGCCCAGCTCCAGCCCATCGGAACCGCGTTGATGACTGGGTAGCAGATTTCACCGGGTTCTGTGGGAAGCTCGCAGCCAGCTGCGTCATCAAACATAGTTTCCATGCCAGCCACACCAAGGGTCTGCCAAAACTCTCGAGGACGAGGCATGTCGAGTCCGAACCAGCTAGCAACACTCGGCAGCTTGAATTGGTAAAAAGCATCAGCGACGTCGGCCTCATTAGCCCACCCGCCTCCAGTTTTCTCGGAGTCATGGCGGTCGCAGAAACTGATCCGCTTGTCAAGGTCTTCCAAGTCAATCTCAGCAAAGTTGCTACACCCGCCGAGTCTTGTGACTGGCGGCTGTTTGTGGTGAAAGTTCGCGATGCGAGCGTCAATCACGAGCCGAATCGCTTGGGGGTCCTTCTTCTTCACACAGAACAAGCCCACTGAAGCTTTGATCTTCCGCCTGAAGGCGATGATGCCGACCCGGCTCAACTTGAGAATCAAGTCGACCCGGGCTGCCTCGCTTGCCCTCAACCGAGGGTCCCAGTAAGGAACAGCAGGGCATGCAACACCATCTGCGCGCTTGCGTGCTACCTCCTCTGGCTTCAGCTCAATGAATCTCTCCGGGTGGCAAGCAAGTGGAGCAGCGTGCGGTGGCAGAAAACTGAGGAGATCCTTTGGCTGCATCTGGGACTGCAAAACCTTCAGCTTCTCAGGGTCGTACTCAGCAAGGTTGTTAGGCGTCTCTCCATAGAGGGATTTTGACTTCAGAAGGTCGCCAAGGCACTTCGCGGGCGTCATGCCAGCCGGACAAGGGCCAGCGCGAGCCACGCAACTGCGAACATGTTCAAAAATGTTGCTCTGCACGGCGGTTGGCACCTTCTGCGTCTGCTGCTTTTGCCATGCATCTAATTTTCCGCTTGCCAGTCGATTGAGGGCGTCCACTGCCCCACTGACCGGCGAGTCCACCTGGGTGTCGCGGGGATTGTGCTGCAAGGGGAAGGGATCACCGTGCTGACGACGTGTCAGCACCGCCTCCTCGCTGCAGTCAGGGGCACCTTGTCTCATGGCAGTCTGGCTGTGCCCGAAAAACCCAGGCTGCCGCATCTTGAAGGCTATGCGTCACCCGGGCCGTCGCCATCTGCGGCGGCCCGCTTGCTCTTGTCTTTCTTCGCCTTCCTGTCGCCTTTTCCTTTGCCCTTCTTCTCGACAGCGCCACCGGTGGGGGGCTGGGAGCTGCTACCCCCGCCCGCGCTTCGGCTGAACTCTTCTCGATACAGCCTGGCCTGCTTCTGTACTTGGGCGCGCTCTTTCAATCTCCCAGCAAGCCATGCATTGAACTCAGCAGGAACGACATGCCCCTCCTGAGCGATCGGATCGTCCAGCACAAGATCAAGTCCGGAGAAGTCGGGAGAGGCTGGAGACCGCGCTACCGCAGCTTCAAGCTGTATGCATCTCCGGACCAAGTGCTCGAAGGAGGCCAGGTTTGTCACATCGATCTGATCAAGTGATGTGGCTAGTCGCAAACACTCGCAGATGACCCTGTGTTCATGCGCAATAGCACCATATTGCGACACCCCGGAAGCCTTCAGCCACTGCAAATGGTATGACGCCATGTCACCTGGGCCTTTCAAGATGGCCGAGAGAAACTCGACTGTGGCGCGTGGACCTTGCATGGGCCAGTCTTGAAAAGATGTGGTCCGGAAGAGAGCAGAAGCCTCTCGAAGAGTCAAAGACCTCTTGCCTTGGCTGTCCCGGTGGTCCCCCAGGAGGCGGAGATCGCCCCGAATCTGGTTCTTCGCATCCTTCCATTCTTCCTGCTTGTCCGCGGCAACCTTGACCACGTAAACCTGGACGCCATCTCGCTGAATGAGTGCTGCGTCTCCCAACACCACTCCATCGTTGATGGCCTGTTCTTCAACGACCTTCCCGAAGTCGTCGTGCGTCACGTCTGCGACAAGCCACACTGACTCGCCGACGATCACCTGCTCTGCATCATCCAGAAGGTTTCCCATGAGCTGCGCACGGCGACGGAAGGATTCCAACTCTGCTCGACTCAGGTCATCGAAGGCGTAGACATAGGGCGCCTGCGCCCGGGGGAACTGAGCCCGCCGGTCCAGCGCAATGTACTCGGTGGTGCGGAGGTCGACTCGCTGCAGGTCCCCGTCGGGGGTGAGACCAATCCATAGGCCTCCCCCAACTTTTACCAGCAGCAGTCTATGATGCCAATAAAATCCACCAGCATCCTGTGGAAAATGGACTATGATCTGCGGATCACTGACATCCAGGCTCCTCGGCTCGTTCGCCATGCTTCTGCTTCAGGGCTTTCAAATCAGATGGACGAAGGGGTCCTCTAGCTTGCAGGGGCCTCAACTGCAACGCCTGTGCGATTGAAGGAGCCTGTGGCTCAACGACGCCCAGCCCGGGTGTGCCAGGGTCTGCCTCAGATTCGTCTCCTGACTCGACAGGGGACTGTTCTTCAATCTGCGGGTGATGATACGGAATCCGAGGTGTCCTGAACCAAATCCAGCAAAGCACAGCTCCTAGAAGTTCCAGCAAAATCCAGAACTGCACCCCCCACCAGTTCCAATGTGAGCGTTGCTCACACAGCTCCAGAGAAAGAGTGGTGGCTTCAACCACTTGTCGGGCCCGCCTCACCTCCAGCCGAAACTCCTGGAGCTCGGTTTCCAGAGCGGCTGTGATGTCACGCGATGGCCAAAGCGATCTTAGGATATGGCTGGTCACAAAACCCCACAACAGAACCCTCATCCAACTTGAGAAAGAAAAGGCTTGAGCCAAAGTGGGGCCTCAAGTGTCACATGAAGCTTCCAAACATCGGCAATGCCTAACCATTTATAATGTTTATATATATGTACATATGTGCTTAGATATGTAAATGTACTACGGTATCATATGCAGGACTATCGGCTTCCCGACCATCCCTTTGACACGCAGCTACGGAATACGGGGGAGGGGCCTGGAAGAATGATCCAAAGCATCCTGCCAAACCAATTTTTTGACGCTCAAGCTGCAGCTGCAAAGGGCTGCATGCTGCCGTTTTCAGGACTCCTTGAAAGTGAGGTTTTGTTTCCAGGAAATAATTTCCAATGATGCGTGCATGTCAACTTGGTTCCACATCATCTGGTTAGGTACGCACCTCGGCTGACTTCAATCATTTGGCAACTCTGCTTGAGCAATACTGCATCCACTTTTCTAGGGGTTGATTTTCCATTCTTTGCAACCATCGTTCTTTCCAAAAACCGGCGGCTTTTCTGGGCTTTCGGTGGATCCCTGGAAAGAATGGGGAAGGTACCCCTAGAGCTTTGGTGTCAATCTCAGTACTCTGCTTTGATACCGGGCCGTAGTCCCGTTTTTGCACAGGGCTTCCATGGCGTCCGGCGAAGCGCCGGAGCGAGCGCCAAGGCCCTGGCGTGTCACACTTCGCCTTGGCGTTCTTTAACGCCTCTGCCTGCACCTGGGAGCCATAGACATCCACACTTGCCAGCTTTCTTCGGAAAATGGCGGCATACGGTAACAGGGTTTTTGAGGCTACCCAAAAAGTCGGGGGTTCAAAGGAAAGCCAAGGGCAAATACTGTTGGTCTGGGGCCGTATTTAAGACGGGTGCAACATGGTATCAATATGTTTCATCAGATGTCATATGGAATGATCTTCCGTGATATTTCTTAAGCAACAGTAAGTATTTTCGCACTTCCGCCGGGAGTTCAAGGCAACTCATCAAATACAAAATGAGTCTGTAGCGACCGGTGATGTCACAACATGTTCACATGCCATTCATGTCATGCCGCTGTCTCTGCTCCTGACTGCGCAAAGGTCACTGAGTTCCCTTCAAAAGCTGCAGTTTCCAGGTTGGTTTGAACAAACCTGCCACCTGTTGCTTGGCGTCTACTGCCCCCTGCTCAAATTGAGCTTCCCCCCTGCACGAAAAGATGTTTAACCTCTCTTGAGTGAGAACAGAATTACGCGCAATCCTTATCTGCCCTGGGTCCTCCAGTAGGGAGGTTAGAATAAGGGTACCAACTTTCTTCTGTCGTCTATTTTTCTAGGGGAACCCCCCCCGCAAAAAAGGGGTTAAAAAGGGCACCTAGCTGGGGGACCTAGCTGCAATTAAGGGTCAACAACCTCCACTGGACAGCAGCCCAGCTTGCGGGTCACTTCAGGCCCTCATTTTCTCTCAGTGAGCGGCGCAAAGTGCCAGGTAGTCCAGGTTCTGGGCAGTCTGAATTCCTTGAAGAAGTACCAGCGCCTCAGCACAGCCACTTCGGCTTCAAACTCGAAAAGGGTGCTTTTGGAGGTGTTCCTGGGGTGGTTTCCCATATACCCTCTACAAATATTCGGGGTGGAAACCCCCCATCCACAAATGCAAACCACTGGCAGAGGAGAACAAAAACCGTAGGAGTCCCAGATGCCTTCCTGAGCAGATTGGCACCAAACAAGTCCAAACGGCTGTTTTTGCCACAAAAACCGGTCTTCCCAAAAAGTCGAAAGTCCAGAAAACAAGGCAGTGAGTCCCTCTAACATCACCCCTCCAGGAAACCCGCCCATGCCCAAACATGTGATGCTTGAAACATTTGAGGAAAACATTGGGACCCCTGGCCTGCCGGCCAATCTCTGCCCCTAGACTGCGCAAGTGTTCAAGCCCCATGTGGGCCGCTTTTGCTTGGGATTTCGGGGGTCAAACGGAAACCAACATAGGTGGCCTTTTGGAAAAATAGATGGCCCTTGTAAATGGAATAAACCAATCTAAACCAGTGCCATCTATTTTTAACCAGGCTCACCTAAAAGGGACGCCTATAAAAACCAACCGTTTTGGGGGACACTTTTTTTTCTTCGAACAAAAAAACATCAGCCTCATTCGGGTGCCATGGTCACAAAGGGGGTGCTAGTCAGGATGTGGATTCACGCGCTTGCTCGGCAGGCGCCGAACATCGAAGGACACCAAGCGGTTGAAACCGCCCACTTTTTGGTGGCTCCCCCTATGAGACAACTCACCCTCAGGACATGGGGCGACGAGTAATGGAAAAGCCCCCAACTTGGTTTCTGTTGACCCCCCCTGCAAAAAGGTTGACTCTTTTTTTGTTTTGGGGGGGGGGGGGTTAGTGGAAAACGCCTTGATTTCCCAAAAAGTTAAAGTCTAAAGATCCAACCCAATAGCAGTCAAGCCAATGTCTCTCCCAAATGGGCCATGGACAAATACTATTCAATAGATAGTTTGACCGAATGTCTCCTGACACCCGCGCCTTCAAATGCGCCAAACGCTCTGGATAGTCTTTGTCCTTCCCAGTGAGCCGCACTGCCATTTGACCACACCTGACGCAAGCAATTGCGTCAGCTCAACAGTAGAACAGGTATCCGGGATCCGTATGTGTTGCGGCGTGATTTAGATTGGCGGGCTTAAAATTGTGGTTTAGGGTTGGATTCAATGTGGGGTTGGTTCAGGATTATGATTAGGGTGGTTTGGTGTCGGCTTAGGTTGGAGGCGTTGGGCATTGTTGAGGCATTGTTGGGGTAGGTTCCCAAAAGAGCGGCATAAGAAAACGTGCAGCATCCTGACCCTCCTCCATAAGAAGAACAGTGCAAAGCACAGGCATCTTGCAGACCGACGCAATCGCACGGGAACGGCAAGAAACGCACACAAACATACCGATGCGTATGCGCTTTGCTGGGATTCTCTGACTGCATTACCGCGCGCACCTAGAGTATACACATGTGCACCGGCAAGCCAGCAGGCCACATCAGCACACAACCGCACCCCACATACTGCATAAAAAAGATATACAAACAAACGAACAAACAAACAAACAAACAAACAGACAAACAAACAAGGCAGACAGGCAGGCAAGCAAGGCAAGCAAGGCAAGCAGGGCAAGAAAGCAAGCAAGGCAAGCAAGCAAGCAAAGCAAAGCCAAGCGATGCAAAGCAAAGCAATGCAAGCAAGGAAGCCAACCACGCGAATGTGTTTAGATGGTGTCCGCAACCGTGCCTTGCCGACATGGTGGAGAGGGACTGCTCTAGCAGGGCCTCATGCCAGGGTTAAAACCCCCTCCAGAAGGCCCTGCGTGAGCACGCAAACGTGTCCGCACGGGTTTGCTTTTTTGTTGGAGGGCACCCTTTTCAGGGTGACTTAAAGGGAAACCCAAAGGAACACATGTACTACCATTTTGCGGGCTTCATTGGTTTGACATGCAACAACTCACGCAGGAAGCAGCCCTCATCACTCGTTTGCCGCCCTGCCATTGAGCGATTCGGTATGGTCCAGTGACATCCAAGCAATACAAAAAGCCTCAGCAAAATAATTTCACTTGACCACCTGCATCCGCCGCAAACAAGTGCTAAGCAATGATTTCGGGGAAACAAACACCCACACACACACACACAAGCATCCAGGAAACAAACAGTGGGCTGCTCCAATGTTTCATCACGGCGCCCTGGCCTCAACCTCCGGTGACAAGGAACATAGGCATTAGCACTCCCGAGGCTGCGTCCACCAATGGCGGATTGACGCGACACACATGCGGGCTTGTGTGTCCCCCCCTCTCGCAGGGGTCCGTAGCTTTCAGATTTCATTTCAACATCGCAGGTTCCTGTGATTTTGAACGAGTCTTCTTTTGGTGTCCTCTTTGAAGGGACACAGACGTGGGCTTTTTGAGTGTCCCCTTTGGAGGTTGGTGTAAACCGAAAGGACGCCGCCCATTTTGAGGTCCAAAGCCAGATTTTGACGCCAGTTTCGTGCTGGGGCATGTGCCCAGTTGCTGGGCAAGCGCAAGCTCCAGTGGTGCCAAAGAAGCACCTCGGGTTCCGTTCATGGAGCTCTCCTTCTGCTTTCCCGGCCGCCCAACAGCACCCCACACAGGCGCCCTCAGGAGCGTTTTTTTCTCATTTTTTTTTTTGGGGGGGTGCTTCCCCCGAAACAGGGCCCGCCTTTCAAAGCTGAAAAGCTCCAATGGAATCCTGTGAGCTGCCTCAACCCCCCGTGGCAACCCGGCAGTGGACATGAAGGCAAACGCCACCACCTGGCCACCGGCACCGCTTTTGCCATGTGCGCATGTGGGTGTGTGTCAAAGGAATCCGCACCAAAATGGAGCCTTCGCTTTTTGCCGCCCTTCAGACCAAGCTGATAAATGATACCCTGAAAAAACGGGAGGGTGAGGTTTAAAAATCAACTTTGTAGGCATAAACAAAACTTATTCCTGAAGATCAAAAAACTTATTAGGGATCAAACAAACTTCCTATCTTGCATTTCCTACTAAAATAGAAATTCAGAGGACCAAAAAAAACTTGTTTGGGATCAAAGAAAACTTCTTCATGTCGTGGCACGCGCAGCACTTTCGCAAGGTCAGGTACGGGCTTTGTGGCAGGCACGGCACTTTCGCAAGGTCAGGTGCAGATTTCGTGCAGATTTCGCGGCAAGCGCAGCACTTTCGCAAGGTACGGTGCAGATTTCGCGGCAGGCGCAGCACTTTCGCAGGTACAGATTTCGTGGCAGGCACGGTACTTTCGCAAGGTCAGGTACAGATTTCGCGGCAGGCGCAGCACTTTCGCAAGGTACGGTATAGATTTCGCGGCGGGCGCAGCACTTTCGCAAGGTCAGGTACAGATTTCGCGGCAGGCACATGTGCAGTACTTTCGCAAGGCCAGGTACAGATTTCACAGCAGGCGCAGCACTTTCGCAAGGTGCGGTAAAGATTTCGCGGCAAGCGCAGCACTTTCGCAAGGTCAGGTACAGACTTCGTGGCAGGTACAGCACTTTCGCATTGCGGCAGGCGCAGCACTTTCACAAGTTACGGTGCAGATTTCATGGCAGGCGCAGTACTTTCGCAAGGTACGGTACAGATTTCGCTTCAGGTGCAGGACTTTCGCAGGGTGCGGTGCGGATAGCCCCCCCATGATGTTCGAAGAAGTGACGATTCAACAAAGGGTGATGATGATCGAAGAATTGATGCTTCAGCAAAGAGTGCGTTAATCTCTGTAAACATTCGACAAACCAGCAGGGGGGTTGGGGGGCGGGCGGCACCCCCCGCGCATGATGGTCGAAGAAGTGATGATTCAGCACAGGGTGCGTTAATCTCTCCGAAAATCAGACGGGGGGGTGGGGGGGCGGCACCCCCGCCCCCATGGTGATAGAAGTGATGACGCAGCAAAGGGTGCGTTAAGCTCTGTAAACATTCTACAAATTAGCAGGGGGGTTGGGGGGGCGGCAGCCCCCCCATGATGATCGAAGAAGTGATGGTTCAGCAAAGGGTGTGTTAAGCTCTGTAAGCATTCTACAAATCAGCAGGGGGGTTGGGGGGGGGGGCGGCAGCCCCCCCCCATGATGCTCTAAGAAGTGATGATTCAACAAAGGGTGATGATGATCGAAGAAGTGATGATTCAGCAAGGGTGTACAAATCAGCGGGGTGGTTGGGGGGGGGGGGCTTCCTTCCTTCCTTCCTTCCTTCCTTCCATCCATCCATCCATCCTTCCTTCCTTCCTTCTCCCCATAGGAATGAGAATAAGTTTCTTTTTGATCCCTAATAAGGTGTTTGTTGATCCCTAATAAGTTTTGTTTGATCCCTGATATGATTTTGATGCCCATCCCGAAAAAGCCAAGCCAAGCACGCCCATATATCATCTTGGTTTTGAAGCTTGGCCAGTCTGTGCAGCTGAGTTTACGTTGCATGTTGAGACGTGTGCCATACCCCGTGCCTTCAAAAACACATCTTGTCTCAAAATGGGAGTTCAACCCCTCCGAATGGCTGACTCAAAATGACTGACTGGCCGAGAGCCACGTTGGCATATCTGCATCGTGCAAGCTTTATCTCCCTCCAATTGGTGGTTTGGGCTTGTGGCGTGGTTCAGGAGGGGTGTCCACCGACGAAGGGGAACCATTTGGGTGTCTCTTTTCTTGGAGGCTACCCCTTTTCTTAGGGTTGTTTTTTTTGGAAGCTACCCCTTTTCTGAGTTGTTTTTTTGAGGCTACCCCTTTTCTTAGTGTTTTTTTAAGACCCACCCCCAAAAGGAAAACCGCCACTTTGCGGGGCCCCCAACAGGAATTCCCTCCCCATTCAAGCCTTTGGAGTCCTGAGGCCCGCCTCCGGCCACAGGCTGAAGCCCGCCTGCCGCTGGGACCCTTCGATGGACGTCAACTTTGGTGGGGATTTGCGTCCACCAGCCACGTTTCAGGGGGTTCTCCACATGGTAGAACCCAAGGACCAACAATATTGTAGCTATATGTTGGGCCCTCTTTACACCACACCCCACACCCCCTCGCGAGGAGTGGAACCAGTCAGCTGGACCCTCTTTAGGTAGAATCCTGGGGGTCTGGGAGGGACAGTACTTACTGTAGTATTGCCAATTCTTCTTTAGTATTGCCAAGGCTGACTCTCAGATCCCCAGTACTTACTTTAGCATTGCCAATTCTACTTTAGTATTGCCAAGGCTGACTCTCAGATTCCCAGTAATTCTACTTTAGTATTGCCAAGCACCGTTATTTTGTCTTTTTTCTTATCCTTTTTTTCCCTTAGCAACCCCCAAACAGTTAGACACTAAAGAGGACCCCAAAACAGTCACATTTAAAGAGGCTCAGGGGTTTTTGTGGGCAATTTTCTTTGTGTGACTGTTTGCCCGTACTTTGTTTGTAAAGAAGTTATCTTAAATTTGATGGTTTGGGGGCCACTAGCACAATGAACTTCCTAGATCCAAGGCCTTTACGCTGGGAAGAGCTTGGTTAGGTGAACCACCCTAAAAGTAAAAGGCTAAGGCTTGAGTCTAATAATTTCAGCAACCCAAAAAGCCGTTGGACACCAAAGAGGACCCCAAAACAATCAAATTTAAAGAGGCGCAGGGCCCCTTGTGGGCAACCCCCTTTGTGCGACTGTTTGCCCGCACTTTTGTGTAAGGAAGTTATCTTAAATTTGATGGTTCGGGGACCACTTCAAAGAATCCTGTTTGCCCGGATTTGTTTGCTCGTCTTTTTGCTCGATTTCTTTGCCAAGTTTATTTGGGCCATATTTCTTTGGAATTCTTTGGAGGCTTAGTCCCAGACAAGATCAGGAGAGTAAACACATTCTTTTTGTTCGGGGAAACAATTGCTGCAATTGAGCACCCCAAAACAGTCACAAGATCCTGAATTGCGAAAAATACTTGCTATAATAGAGGGTGCTATTAATAAAGGAGGTGTAACATTACTTGCCGCACTCACATGGCCCGAAAACAGCGTAAAGCTGGGCTCAACAGTCTAAATCATTACTCAGGGAACCTGAAATCCACCATCAAAAATGTCAATTATCTGGCTTAAAGACTCAAACAGCCCGAGAAACCCACCCAAATGAATGTCTACATCCGCGCCAGCACGGCGAAAATCAAGGAGACCATCACCGAGAAGAAGCCGGACATCACCTCACGACTCGTTGAGGCGCTACGGCTTGAGCACCCCAAAACCCACAGGCTCTTGGTTCGATGGGTAGGTATTGTGACGCGGGCTTCCTGGAAGGGAATCTCTAGGTTCATTGACAAACCCTGCGTCATTCCCCGCAGAGCACCGGCAAGTCATTCAGTGGCCATGCCAACAGCTCCCATGACATGAATCTACCCAACCTAAGACATCCTAAAAACCACGGTGGCCTACAAGTCCACGGCTGGCAAAGAGAAAATCGACAGTTCGAAGCTGCCATATGCCCAACATGGATCTGCCTCAAACAAACATTTGTTGGGGGGGGCTTCCTCAAGTTTCTAGTTTTGGTTCCCTCCCAAACAACTCGTGGTTTCCCTCCAAAAAGAAGAAGGGGCCTTTCTCTTGCGTCGACTTGCGCTTGATGACTCTGGATCCCCGCCAGGGGCATCCCCCGAAAGCCGCACGCGTCGATCCGGTTTCGATCGAGCAGCTGCAGCGGCTTGCAGGGACCAACACCTCAGCGGGGTGAGGGGTGAGAAGTGAGGGGGGTGAGGGGCGAGGGGCGAGGGGGGATTTAGTCATGAACTGCTGGGCCAATTTGAAGGAATTCATTTGTAGCGAGTAGATGCTCAAAGAACAAAATTATGCGCAGCCCTAGTTCTCCTTCATTCTGCTGATGGACGAAATGCTACACCAGTTGAGTCTATCGCTTATCCCTATATTTGTTGAGTTTCATTCATCCAGGTGGTGCAGGATTTGTTCCATCCTCCTTACGATGGTGTTCAGGGGTTAATTGACCACGGACCCCAAAAGAAAGGATTGCCTTTGCTTGGGGATAGGCCTTAGGGGAGCCCTCTTGAGGCCCAGAAGTGCTGCTGCCTGTGTCACTATCTTGTTTTGTCGCCTGGTTGTGCGAAAGTTGTGCTCGCCAAGTTGACTATTTCTAGCAAACATTACAGTAGGATGTCTTGTTGGGGACCCTTCACATGGGGATTCATGTCCGCCCATTCTGGATGGGCTTCTCCATAAGAACTCATGTGCCTCCGATCATCATCCCTCACCCACAGCCAAGCATGCCCCCACTCAAAACAAGACCCCACAAGGGGTTTCTGCCATTTCAAAAAAGTGGGCCGATGGACTAAAGCAAGGTGCTCTCGGAGGGGGCCCTTTTGGGACAAGTGCATGGTGCAGGCTGGGTCCCAGGCTACTTGCCTCAACACCATTATAAATGAACCCCACATCAGCGGTCGAAACACGCGGGTGCCCAAAAGGACGAGAGAACACCCAGTGCCCCACCAAAATGCACCACTGCAATGTAATTCAAGCCTGATCTCGGTTTTCCGATGCGACTAAGAATTTCCAGACTTCTCAGGAACCCCAACTCAAGCCGACAAAACCTATGGACCCTCACAAAGACTTCTGCCAGCCTTGGTATTCCAGCCCCCGCGAAACGTTGGATCCTTATTGAAATGGCTCCAGACAGCCTCAATTTAGGGGGGGTGTTTCGTCCAAAGCAAACCCCCCCCCCCCCTGTGACCCTAACAGGTGGGGTTGATGGCTCCATACCGCTAGGGTGGCAGCTGCCACACTTCCTGACTCTGAGTTTGCCACAGGTCTGCGCTCTTCGTCGAAGCTTCCCTGCGCGTTCGGAGTTCCCTTTTCCGCCCTCCCGGCCACGTGTTGCTGATCCAATTCCTCCTCCAAGGATGCTATATGGTTCGCATGCATGATGCATACAATGCCTTGCCGAGGATTGCAATCTGTGAGCAACTTGCCACAAGGTGCTCACTTGCCAAAGAAACACAGGGTTGAGGCTGACCGGCCCTACTCAAACCTCCAACCCCCTGGAAACAGCACCCACAGCAGCAGCGCCCAGAAACCCATCGACTTCCGGCCCTACCGAAGAATCATACAGCGGCTGCGGCTCCCGGCTCCGTTTGTCGCGATCCCCTGCCAGGGTGATCATCCAGCCCCCAGTTTTGGAGTCCCCGGCGTAACATCAGCAGGTACAGATGTGGCGCCGCGCGGGTGGCCTAGGCACTGGCGGAAACTTTGCTGTCAAACCACCCGCCGAATGCAGCTCTGCACCACGACAAAGGATCACAAACCAATACTAATGCTGGTCCAAGAACAGCAGCCAACCTCCCAGCTCCTTAAGATCTCCAACTCCAAGCCGACGAGATATCCCGAACAAAGCTGGAAGAATAGGCACAGAAGCACAGGGAAGCTAGCCAACTAGAAAACGGGAAGCTTCAAGCGACTCATTCATTAAAAGCACCCCTCAAGAACAATCACTCACCTGCCCAAAGGACCTGGCAACAACAAGTTTAACTTTTGGGGCCATGACGAACCATTGACCCATGTTTTCCACATCAGCGACCAACTTCGGTGAAACAAATATGGCAGAAAGTCACGACATAAATCGCGATGGAAAGGAGTAAGCATCCATTGTAGACAAGGCCATACTTCATATTCGTCCAGGAAGAAGAAACTTAGCGGAACAGTTGCTTAGCAATATTCGAGCCGGAAGCAGACTTCTTGCACTAGAGACGGAACGTGGTGTGTGAAAAGGTCAGTCTGAGACTCGGTGAAGATACATCGCTGCTCACGAATCAGAATCTGCTGCAGGGCGTGTATTGCAACAGCGAGCCTGCAAAGGTCGACTCGGGCCAACAAGTGGTTAGCAAAGAAAAATGTGGCTCTAGAGCGGGACCCGTCCGGAAGCCCCAGACCAGAAGGCCGGGGCCGACACAGAAATCCCCAAAACATCTTGCAAGTGCTGAAATGTTCAAGGCTATCGGCGCCATCACTGCACCCGAGCTTGCAATAGGAAAGCGCGGCGAACCATTGACCCAAAATGAAACAAACACAAAGGTCCAAAGGTCGATTCGCTTTGGACCACTGAGAAATCAAGGTGTCAAGATACGGCTCCAAGCTGAGGCTCCGAGCCCCAGCTTGGAGTGAAGTCGAAGATGTCCCCGGACTTCAAAAACTCCGCCGCCTGAGCGGATCACGGCATCGCGCCAAGCGGATCTAAGGTGAGACCTGTGCCTGGCCCCATGCTTCTCGTGAGGCGCGGCTTTGGGAAGCACGGCTTCTCCGGTGAGCCACACAGATTTGTCTCATGGGATGGTTTCCACGTGACTTCCCGCAGGTCAGCGCAATCCTTGAGCTCCAGTCATGGAAATTGCCCTAGGCTTTTTGCGAAGCCCTTCGACTTTGATGGCACTGGTTGCCCGAAGACCCTGCTAGACAACAGGGAAGTCTAGGGTTTAGCCCTGTGGAGAATCCACACAAGTAAAAGTAAAAGTAAAAGGCAACCACTGAATTCGTCTGGATTCCCCTGCCACACAACAAATGAATCAACACGTTCGGCCCGTCTGCTGCAGTCTCGTCTGGGCCCTCCGGCAGCAGCCTCGATGTCGCGCAAAGAAGCCCCCGCCTGGGAATGGCAGCGGCAGCTCCACATGGGCAAACCTCGCACCCTACTTCTTAAGCACGAACACCTGGCACCCCAAAAGCGGAATATACATGCTGAGCTGGGGCACGTCCACCCATTTCCATCTGTATGCGGGAGTCGGGAGACTTCCGGGCGCTGAGCTATGCTGCACTCCCTACAAACCCAGCACTTGCGCCGCCTGCCAAACACAGCGCAGCGCGTGCAAGACTTTGCAGCGCGTCCGGTCTTCAGGCCTCAGCTTTCCAAGCGCTGATCCACAGAAATCGTTCTACCGCGTCCTCTACTCAGACACACACACACACACACACACACACACGCAGTTTATGAGGGGCTGATGAGCAGTGCATCATATGCTGGGATGAGCCGGCTTGCTTGAATTGGATGCAAATCAGTCAGGGCCGTGGCGTGTGGGTGGCTTGCCGCAAGTCTGAGAGCAGCTTGTCCAGTTGCTGGTGCTGGTCCTCACCACCAGGGAGGGTGGTGGCTGAGTTGGGTGTCCGCGGTGCACATGTACTCCAGGAATTGGCTTCTTCAAAGATCGGTGACATGGACGAACTGGCTGACATTGACGGTGCAGGGTACGTAACACAAATTCACCAATGCCCACCCAACAATTCTGCAAATTCCAAGCCAAAGGCCGACTTCCCACTTTACACAACTTTACCGGACAACGTCTTGAGTGTAGTACGCTGCACTTGGCATCCTTGTGCCGAACTGTGAGGTCTGTCCTCCATCACTGCGGCCGCTTCTTGCAAGAAGGCTAAATCCTGGAAGCAGCCCCAACGCACCACGCCGGCTTGATTGGGCTTGGCTCAAGCGCCGCGGAGAAAAAACCGCCCACCTGATTGGCAGAAATGACCTACTGTGGATGACCACTGCTCGCTGGTATTTACAGATTGCCGGAGAATCGAATCATGAAAAAAACTCCAGGGTTTCCGAGGTGCTGCGAAACGGATGTCGTGTCCATCCGCTGCCCTCACGCCCAAAAAGCAAAACAAGCCAGGCCCGTTGCCCCGCCTGAGGCGGAGCTTGCCGAAGCAGCTCCTCTCTGCCCTGCGCGAGCTTCGCTTTGCTAGCTCGAATCCGCTCGAATCGATTCGACTTCGCGGAGTTGGATGGCCGGGGAAAGGAAAGATGTTGTAGCCCCCTAAAGCCCATGAAATTTGTGGATCTGGAGGGTGAATTTGGTGGGACCCTCTTTCAAAATCTACGACTTCAGCATCCATGAAGTTTTCCTTTGGCCGGGGCATCTCCTGGCTCGCCCCAGCAGCAGCCCAAGTTGCATTCCAAAAGTCAACGTCTACCTCCAATACTTCCCCGGCTTGGGGCCTGCAAGCCTTGAGCATCCCTCTCATTTGTTTGCGTCACCCCTTACTCAGTTGCCCAAAGGACCTGGAAACAAAAGGTTAACCTTTTGGGGCCATGACTTAAAATGGACCAACATGGGAAAACCAAAAGGTCAAAAGGTCGGCTTTGGGCAACTAAGCTTAACAATCGTGGAAGTCCATGACCGGCGCTCCCCAAAAGCAAAGTAGTCTTCCAAGCACCTGTCAGATTCCATGATTGTGGGTGCCCCCCTGTGCCCCTCAAAAGGGGGCAATCGCCAATGCACCTGCTTGCCTGGCTGATTGAAAATCGAGCACGACGCGGTGAGGCAGAGAAACATATGTGCTTGCGATGCTCAGGAGTGCTCATGTGGCGCTTCTCCAAATTGGGGACCTCTCCAGGTGGTCGGTTACAATTTGGTGCCCCTTTGAAACCATCCAAGGCGTTCCCCATTTTGAGACAGGCTCAGGCCGGTTCAGGTCTTAGGTTAGTGCCGGGTCTGCTGGAGCCAGAAAAAGAAGTAGGGGTTAACTTAAGAAAGCAAACAGGCCGGAGAAACCAGTGACGCACTGAGAGTTGGCGTCTTCCTCAGTCCACACCGCAACATGCTGCAACATGCTGCAACGCCGAACAGCACATCTGACTGGCAAGGCCAAGTCCTCTAACGCCACTGAGGTAAGGGCAACTTCTCCAGTGTATGGGTGTTGACCCACTCGTCTACCTGCTTGGCCTAAGTGAAATGCTGCTCTGGTGAAGCCCTCGGTTGGCATTGCCTTGCACCTGGCCCCATATTTGGGCCCTGGTGCCTGCCTCTAGTGAAGGATCTAAATCCTCCCCAATCCTGCAATCAACCACCTGCAATTGGGGCCTAAATGAGAGTGGTTGGTACCATAAGTGTGCTGGCCCTGGCACATGGAACAAAACCCAAGATCTAAGCCAGTGGCATCTATTCTCAACGAAGCAAACCTAGAAAGGACACCTATGGCAACTACTTCAACATAACAAACATATGTTTAAACAAACAATATGCCCTGGTTCACCCCCTCCCAAAAGTGTCCCGAAGGCAACCCCAAGACTTCAAGATCGTTGCACAGTTGGGTGAAAGTGGACGGCACTATTTCCCCCTCATGTTGGCTTGGTCATCGCCTTCACCTACATACAGGATCATACAGGACGACCATCTAATTACTTTCACCGTGTAACATGGGCTTCTGTCTTGTTTGGTTGTCTTGCGCCCTCTCGCGCTTGCAAAGGGGGGGCCCGCGCAAACTGAATTACAGCCATCAAAAGACCTCCAGGCTTTGCAGGTGAGTTGGAAGTTCGTACCAGTTTAAGATCCAAGTCAATAGCATTCAAGCACCCTTTTCCTAAGCTAAATGGGAGGGCAAGCCTCCGTAAAGATTGGCTTGTTGATGGCATGTTACCGCTGGTTAAACTTTGGGATTGTTGCTGCTGCTTGTTGATGGCTGCTTGTTGATTCCTGTTGGATGCTCCTTTTCAGGGTGTTGGCTTACAAGGCCAACCAGCGGGGCCAGTCAACCGGGACCAAAAACAATTGGGGTCCCGGGCCGCCACTGCGAGGCGCGGGGAGCCGCTGCAGCCACCTGGCGGCTGGATCCTTTCCCGTGCCCGTCTGGGTTTAGGGGTTTAGGGGTTGAGGGGTTGAGGGGTTTATGGGAACGCCCATTTGTTGGGCTTTTGGGGTAAAAAATCAAAATCGCAACTGGGCGATTTCGCGCGGAAGTGGCTGGGATGCGAAAAGGGGGGGGAGGGTGAGAGCAAGCGAGAGAGTAGCCCGACATTGCGAAGCCTTTTTGAAAACATGAATTGAGACTTCCAGAGGTTCAAGGCAAGGTGGCTACCAGGTCTGGACAGCGATGTTCGTGTCAGGAGCTACGGCCCGCTGCCGATGCGAGCATGCAATCCACTACGCATGCGGCGTATATGGTAAGACTTTTTGACTTGAACCAGTGCACAAACATCTCTTGCGAGATGGCCATGGTTCGCCTCTCAAGGCAAATCGGCCTCGCAATCAAATTCCGCCCAGAAGACGAGAAAACCAGCCAGAGAGGACCAATCGCTCAACATTGATTGTTCCTTGTCCGCGTCCTGCGGCACGGGAACGAATCAGCCAACCAGCAGAATTGAAACAGGGCGGGCTTGAGCAAATTTGATTGATTCATGAAGACCTGGAAGCCAAAGGAAGCCGACAAAAGCCCGTGCCCCCCAGTGAACATCCCAACCCCCACTCAAGTAGACTAAAATGGGTGGTTGATGGTGGTTGCACCTACCCCAAAATGATACCATTGGTTTTGACCCACAGCCATTTGGACGTGGTCCCTTTGAGAAACACGGTGCCAACGTGCCAATCCTCGCCCTAGCCCAGGTCCCCACACCATCCCCATCGTCGTGGAGCCACCACAGTAGGGCGCCTCGGCAGCGCGCAAGGCTGTTAAACGCATTCGAGACTCGCCAAACCTCGGCGTCCTTAATTATGGAATGAATGTGCCTGGGTGCATGGGTGTGTGGGTGCTAGGGTGTGTGGGTGTGTGGGTGTGTGGGTGAGTAGGTGAGTAGGCTAGTAGGTGAGCGTGCATGTGCGCATGTGGTAACCTTTTTCAGCTTGCTGCATCACTTTGGGGCGTGGACACAATCGCAGGTAATGGTGCAGGATTGGACTTGATCTGCAACGCATTCAACAGAACTGTTTTAAGCGAACTCCAGGTTCACAAATCCAAGAAGATTACCCAAAACACCAGCAGGCTCAATCAAGCGTCGAGCACAAGGCTAGCAAGTCAGCCTTCAGCCAATTGCGATCTTGCCGGTTTGCTTACGGTTGGCTTTGGGTGAATTGAGGGTTCAGGGGCTGCTTGCTTTGGCAGGGATCCGCCTGGTTTGACTTAAGGCAGATTCGGGATTGCCGCGATGATCTCCAGTTGCCTATTAGGGTAAGCGTAGTGGCTCAGATTTGGCCTGTTCAGTTTAGGCCCCCGCTCGGAGGCATCTGGACAAGCACAGGGGATTGTTCAACTCAATCAAGCCCAGCACAAACCTGTCTCTTTCTGTTAGTGTCTACGTATGTGCTGTGCTGCGTGGGGGAGGAGAGGGGGGTTCATCATTCTCTCAAATCACCCACCAGCCATTGGCAAGAAACTAGCAATGGCATGAACGCATGGAAGCCCCTGTGTCTGCATGTTGTCCAACATCGGAAGCCAGAAATGAATCCCCTAAATGCTTGCTAAACGCACCAGAAACATGGTAACCTGGTTGTAGACGTGAGCTCGCCGTTTTTGTTTGGCAAACACAGCCCATTTAAAGACACCGCCCCTAACGCCCTGCAGCCTGAGGCCCCCGGGCGTTCCAAGGTCACATCTTGCTCCATCTCCAAGGCGCGACGCATCCAAAGCGTCTCCCCCTGCGATGGTCGGAGCATCGTTTGGGCGTGAAATAGGTGTGTCGCAAGTTGGTTGAAAGCCCTCAGGTCTCGTTTGGACCCAGTTGCCCAAAGGACCCAGGCATAAATGGTTCACCTTTTGGAGCCATGACTAAAAATGGACCACAGTGTGGGAAACCAAAAGGTCCAAAAGTGTCAATTTTACGGGACTCCCCAAAATGGTGGCTTTGTAGTTTTCCTTCAAAACACAGAAAAAAAGGTGCCCAAAAAGAAGACACACCCATCATCCATTTAGCAGTTCCGGTATCTAACGCCCAGCAGTGCGTTTCGCACTCGACGTGGGCAGAAATGTTGACAGGAGTTGTGGCTCCTGCTTTGATCTCACCCCTTTCCTCCAAAATGGCTGCCTCTGCTTACCCATCCTGTGCAATAGGGATCGTCCAAATCCTTGTGGGACAAAACCCAGTCCACTCCAATGGGAGACCTGGCTACGAGAACACCTGCAAGATCAGATAGGGAACCAGGGCACCAGCGCCAACGGGCAGCTGCTCTCTGCAAAACCTTGGGGTGCGAGTTGTGCCCCATTTTTTGAAAGGGAATCCACCCCTTTCGGGCGCGACCCTTCTGTCTGTGACCTGTGCCCCCACGCCACGAGCACACGCCGGATTTCCAGCTCCAGCTTGGAGCAGAGCCTCAGTCGGACTGCAAGCCGCCACGAGAAAGTGGTTGAACAGTAGGGTTTGTCACAACCCCCCCCCCAAAAAAAAAAGAAAAGAAGAGGCAGCACACAAGTTGGAAGCCATCTCGAAGCCATCTGGAAGGGCATCTGGAAGGCATCTGGGAAGGCATAACGGTGGAAAATGAACTTCGAACAGCGCGAACAGAACCCCCCTCTCAATCTCAAGCACCAGTGAAGGACGAAGTTCTTTTAACGGAAAGGCCTGCCATCCGTGCCCAAACGCGCCCTTGTCACAGGTGCCCTAGAACCGAACATTGCCAACCACACGCCTCCCTTTCGCCAAACCTGCCAGGTGCGCTGGCAGGACCGAATCGGCCAGAGCAACGTAAGAACATGTGAGAACCATAGTTCGACACTCCTTCAGCCCCGATAGGAATGAACGTGTGAACGGTGCCACTGCTAGTTGCTTCACATTGCCAAGTCTGGCTACATGCTCAAATTGGAAATGAGGGATCCGCGAATAAAAGTACCTTCATCATGCGTCGGCTTGCCTCCTCCTTGATGTGCGGAGGTCCTCGTGTTGGCTTGGGAAGTTTGAGGCTCAAAAGGCCACTAAACATTCTGGGTCCAAAGCGACATCCTCAAAATACAAAGTGCCTTCTACACCCCCTCGCCCTCGCTCTCAGCCAGCGGCTGCCAGCCCCGTGCTGCATTTGGTCCACTGACCCTGGGCCGACCCGAGCTTTCGATGGACCTCTCGCCTCTGAGGGGCCGCACACCCATTGTAAGCAGCAAAAGAGGCGGATCGGCAGTCAAATATTCGGCTTGGATTTGGTAGGTCCAAACCTGTTCCGTCACATTTGCGATAAGAGAAGGCGTGAGTTCAGTTGGCCCAGGTTGCAGCACAACGCGGCATGCAGCACCTCACTTTTCAAGAGTTGCCATTCTCTCTTGAAGAGTCGTATCATGTCGAGGTACGGCACAGGCGGCTGAACGCTTTTCTCGAAAGGCAAGCAGTGTGCACGCTTTTCACATGAGCCACGGAAGGAAGACTACCTTGATTGAAATATTGTTGGAAACTTGATTGAGTCTCCTCTTGTCCCTCCCAAATTGACCATTGGCTACTGGATGCCAGCCTAAAACAAGATTGCTCACGGCAGGGCTAAATACGCCTGCAAAACCCCCTCAGCCTACTTGGGGGGGGGTGTAGGGGTGACTGGACATGAATTCGCATAGGCAGCTTGCCTACGGGTAACCACCAAGTCTTCAGCTGAAGGGATACGTTAGGACCTGACTGCTTCCAAATGGCCTGGCTACTCGTGGTCAAGGATGCTACTTGAAACAAGGCAATTGCTTGGCCTTGGCCCCTGAGACATGTGTGCATCATGGTTCTGCTTTGATTCTGCTTTGGTGAGCTAGCTGCCATCAAGAAGCAAGCTGCGTGCTCCCAGCTTGGCGAATGTTAGAACAATCATCCCACCCAGCATCCGTGGGTTGATGGCAGCCGCCGGACCACATCAATAGCTATACTGGCCATAATCGAATAAAAGGCGGCACCATCCAGTGAAAGGCGCCACCACTTTCTGTTGGGGTCGGAGGTTGCAATTCTCTGGTCGCAAGGGAACAGAGTATGAACTGCAAGTGGAATTCCAGGGTTCTCCGGGTCCCAGGCCCATCAACCCGAGTTGGACTCAGCGCCTGACCCTCTTTCGAACGTGCCTTGGGACGCCCCAGCCTCGCAAGCTGCGCTGTTGAAACACCCGTTTCTGGGGACAGTCTGGCATGTCTGCAGAAGTAAACCTGTACTTTTCAGGTAGGCCAAGCAGGTTTCCAATGACTAATTACGTCCAAACAAGGGCGTGCCTGCTTTGAGCCAGGATCTTGTTTTCCCGACCTTCCAGCGACGTGACTGCGCAATTCGGCGTCTCAATCGTATTTGGGGCTAATTCGCCGTGGGAGCCAGTGCAATCATGGGTTGCTCTCGGGTCAGTTTATTCTTGGGGTGGGTTACTGGCGGGCTCACGCTTGGCTTAAACAATTTTGAGAAGAATTGGGGGGATCGGCTTGGCTTTAGTGGGCTTTCCAGCCAAAGGGCCCACATGGCTATGGAATCACACTGATATGTGAATTTGACTGGGGACCCTACAAAAGGATCCACCAACCGCTTGGGGGTCTTCCCTAATAAAATGCACAGCCACATGGCACATGGATCATTCTGCATCAACCAGGGGAATCCGATCCCGACAAACTGAGCGGTTTTGTCACGACTGGAAAAATGCTGCCCAGCCTCAAAAAGAACACCTAAACCCACGCACGCAGCAATCTTGCTGGTGCGTTCTCGGCGAATTCGAGAACTGGGGTGTCCTTTTTTCCGGGGACCAACAGTTCCTTCTCACCCGGAAAATCCCGGCAGAAGGTCAATTCGAGAACTGGGGGTTTCCTTCTTCCGGGGGCCGAAGCCTCAGCTCATTCCCCGGAAGGTCCTTCCCCAGCGCGCCGGCCCCCATGGCCCCCGGGGACCCGAATCGAGGCCGCGGCCAGGCGCCGCAGGTCCGCCAGCTTGGCGGCCAAGCCGCGGAGGGCCGAGGCCTCGCTGCGCCGCGGCGCGCGCGGAACGGCTCCCAGGACTCGAGTTGCGGAGGTTTTTTTTTTGGGGGGGGGTGGGTGGAGACAAGAAATGCAGGGAGGGTGGGTGGGTGGGGGGTGGGGCGGTTCTGGCCGGAATGTGTTGTACATTTCATGTGCATCCATGCGGCAAAGTGGGGCTGGTAAAAACTCCTTGCCCGGAATGATGGCTTTGTTTATGTCCATCAGGCTCAGTGGCGCCGTTTTTTTTGTGAGATGGAAGCCAGGCTTAAAGGGAGGCCAAAACCGAAATCCATGTCCCTGTTTCTCGGGTCGCTGCCCATCTGCTCCTGACCTCGGTGTCCAGCTGACCTCGAGCCAGCGAGCCGAGGGGTGCAGAAAATCCACCTCACATTCTGCTTCATAGCCCGATGCAACCCCCCCCCCAAAACCCGCGCCTGCTGCTTATGTAAGGGGATCAAGTCACTTTACACGGATATTACAAAAAAAAAGCTCATTTTACAATTTTGGCAGACTCTCGCAGATGATCCATTAAGACTTTGGCACTCAAAGACTTTGGGAGGAGGCACGAGTCAAACTAACCATGTGGTATTAGCAGCAAACAATTGCGCTTGGGTGAAAGTCGATAGCACCATTCCCGTCATTGCGATACCGTAGTCATCCCCTTAAGCCAACGTTCACTGTTCAACTCTTTTACATCAGAACTGAACATGAGCAGAGCATCATCCCTCTTCAAGCCATAGCAGGGTTGTGCCATACTTTTGGGGATTGACACTCTTGGACTGGTGGCCCCTCTGGGTAATTTTCCTGGAAAGTTGCTCTTTTCAAACCTGGAAAGGGTATCTTCAAGACTATGCTCAAATGGGTTACATCTTCTTTGAAGGTATCCTGTTTGGGTTGGCCTGAACGGAAACCAAAAGGAACCCATTTTGGGTACTCAATCCAAACTCTTGGCCCCGAAAATGATTATGTTTGTTATTTTTCGTCCCGGCGCAAAAAAATCGACTTGAGAGACAGCACCGAAGATCTCCTTCGCCCAGCCCAGCCCTTTTGTTCCATTTCCGCGCCTAAGGGGATCTGCCTCGCCGTGGCGGCGGCGCCTGAGCAGCGCCCAACGGAAAAATGGTCGGTGCCGGTACCGTTCTCGGCAGGGAAGAAATGGCAGGATTCCAAGAAAAAACCATCCAACTGGTTTCCTCTCTCCGGGGACCAAAGGCTGGGTTCGTTCATTTCCTCATTCCCTACTGAGCAAGTGTTGGTAGATGGTTCAGTTCTGCTTGGCCTTGTGCTTATAGCAAGGCCTATGTAAGCCTGAACACGTTTGTAGAGCCAAAAGCCGACTGCGGTATCTGTCAAAATAGGGAATCCAACCCTCAAGGTGAAAAGGGTACCAGGCCTCAAAAAAGGCATGACCACATGGGGGCCCAACTTGGTTTGGGCCCCTGAATTTGTCGTTTGGAAGGAATGGTATGCTTGTTGGAGTGTTTGAAGTGAAACCATCCCCCCTGCCATAAGGGGTGGGGGGTCCCCCAATTCCAGTCATCTAGTCTTCACAAAGGATAAAATGGAACCACAAATGGAATTTTAGTGGTCACCCCCCCTCCCCCAATTCCATTTACAAGGGGGCGGGGATGTGAAACCTAGTTCTCTCCCTTCGTTGCCGTAGAACTGGACTGGGGGTGACGTGGTCCACGGACACCACTCATTCGAGCAACACCCAACAAGTGGTTGCGGTTTCTTGTGGAGGGTGTCTCTACTAGACACGGGAAAACAAGAGCCGGATACTTTGACCAAACCACTGGAATTTCGGGGCGGCCCCTTTCCGAGTGAGTGCCCAAACGCCAAATCGCCGAGTTGGAAGCCAACTCTGAATGCATTAAAATTGAAGTCTTCCAGGGGAGTCGTTGGGGAGACACGCTCCTAACCTCGCTCGCATTTCTAACCCTGCACAACGGAACCTTTAACCTCCTGGATAGAAGTGTCTTTGGGTTGTCAAACAGGGTCCCCAAATCTTCTATTTTTTTGACTTAAATGGGTTTGTATTCTTGGGGCGCATCTCCAGTTTGGTCAAAATATCCGGCTCTAGTTTTCCCGTGTCTAGTAGAGTTGTTGGGTATCTCTTCTCCTGCGGCTTTTTTGGTGCCCCCCCCTCGTTTGCCAGGCGCCCGGGCGGGCCAACAGCGACACCCCGGCGGCCGCTTCCGTGGCCCGTGGCAGGACCTGGCTGCCCCTTAAAGGTGCCAGAAACCTGGGGGCGACCATGAGGGAAACCGAGGGAAACCGCAAAAAAAAAAACAACATTCGACTTTCACCTGGGTGATCAAAAGGCGGATCAAAAGGTCCCCCCCCCCCAAAGACAAAAAAGAAGGAGGGAAACCACACAAGAGGGAAACCACCCAAAAAAAGGAATCAACCACCATTAGGGAAACCGCCTAAAAGGATCGACGTTCACTGTGACCAGAAGGTGCGATAAACGTGGGGCGACCATTGCTTTTGCTGGTGCGATGGGTGGGGAATGACGGAGTCAGGGTGTTGGGCATGAACCGGAAGGGAGTAGCTGCAAAAAAACCATAGGATGGATGGTTTATAGCAGTCATGCCCTCATTGCCTGCTGAGAACCAGGGTTCACCAGAAAAGCTAGCCATGGTCATTTTGGGGCCGAACGGAATATTGATCCCCGCAAAATTCAGATTGGCAACCGGTTGCCAGTGACTCCAACTCCCCGTTTAGTACCCTACTTGATGGTTAGCTACTATAGGGGGGACTGGGAGCCACTGGGCCAGCCAAACCACAAGGAACGGTGAAAAGGGGGTCCGGAAAAAGATGTGTGTTCCTTGGTTGCCTTCTTGAGCTAGGCTATTTCAATCTGATTAAACGAACGCTCGAGCATTCAGTTCCACTTCAAACCAATTCTAAGGGGTCTATGGGTGGCAAGTTTTGAAGGGGGGGGGGTGTTCGGGGTGGTTGGAGAGGTGTTGGGGGGTGCTGGGGGCGGGGCAAAAGATACGAGGGAACATGGCGAGCTTCTGGAGAGGTTGCTTCATGTACGGGATAGAAGCAGTTCTCAAAAGTTCCTGCAAATGGTTTCGACAGGATGCTACGCACATACATGCCCTTTGTCGCAAGCGATTCGATTCGCAGAGCCTGTTCAACGGGTTCCGGAATCAACTTGAAACCAATTCAAGCTCCTCATTCGCGGGGCCATTTCTTTTGCCCACTAGTTGTAAACGTGGGGTTGGCCAATTTGTTGTCGGCGGTTGCCCCCACCAGATCCAAAGGGTTTGGCTGCTCAGAAACATGCACCAAAATTGCACCTTGGCACACGGAACCAAAGACTAAAACCAGCAGTTTGCCTTTTTTCCTTTATGTTTGAGTAAAACCTGAACAACCCTAGCCTAGCTCTGCATTTTTGAGCCAATCCCCTTTTATTGTGAGGGAGTTGCCCTTCACAATTTTCCACCGCGGCGCAACGGGGCGTTCCACCGCCTCCTGCACCAAGGATTCCACGGCAGCCCGGCGCGGGGCCAAGTGGTGCCGCGAGCCTCGCGAGCCAAAAACCCGGCCCATGCCTCGCTCACCCGGCCCTCGGGCCGCCCTCGTGGGTCTCAACTACATCCCGCTTTGACTCACGTCTGCATTCTTGAGGTGATTTGAAAAAAACTGGTTGCTCTCACCAAAACTGTCTTCCCCCAATGGCCCAAAGAGTAAAGTCCAGAAACTCAGGGAGTGAGCTGGAACATCACCCCGCTCAAAGGACACTCACTTCAATTTGTCCAAGATGATGTTCAAAACAAGGAGAAAAGAGGGAAACATGTTCCCTATTCGTTGCCCCTCTCATGTGGCAAAGGGTTACCCCAAAGTTGTGCTCTTTTTGTCGGGTTCCCCTAGCCAGTCTGGAAAGGGCACCTCAAGAGAATATTCTTTGAACAGCCTCCTCTGGAATTTCCCTTGGCAGCTACTCATATTCCGACCTGGCAATGCTTAGAAAGCAAGAAGGGATACTTCACATGATGCCTGGCTCTCATTCATACCGAATAACCCGATTCCTAAGCCTGTCAGCATCCGGAGGGTGAACTTCCCCTATCTTTCAAAGTGCCGCTTTGATACTTTGGGCTGTCCTAAAGGCAAAGCGCTCATTTGGGGTGCAAACAACCATGGCCACACCAAAAAGGCAGCCGAAACTTGATCTGGCTGAAGCATTGCAAGTCGCATCAAGCAACACATCAACCGCTCTCTAATCATATTTCAACCTCGAAAAACATCACCTTAGAGGAACTCTCCTACCAGCTCCAAAAAATGAGGCCTGTGTTGCCACCAAGCCTGGATAAATACAGAGCGTGCCGGACTCCCCAGGGCCCCTGGCAGTGGGAGCAGGACAGGATCACCTGTCGCCGGACAAACTCAATGCCAGGATGCCATGGGTTTTGTCCCCAAGGCTGCCGCTTTCTGAGTGCCCCCCTCCCCCCAACCCCCCAGCAGCACCAAGATAAAGCGTTGTGCCTCTGGGCTTCTGAGCCAGAGCAGCTCCACTTTTCGGGGGCCCGAGTTTTGACAAGCCTTGGCCCATCCACATGCCGGGGCCCCAGGCGGCTGCAAGGTAGCAGGCAGCAGCCACGCAAAAGCTCGCGCCCACCTGAAAAGGCGATCGCTACAGCGGGCAGCTCCACCCATTTGGGCGAAGACTTTTTGAGGGGCTTGGCTTCAGCTGCCACACATGAACTCCACAAACTCGTCTTTGCAAAAGGAGTCTCCTTTCGCCTTCGCGGAACCTCCTTACCGGATTTAACTCACTGGTGGTTTCCCTTGAAACCATCGCTTTCGGAGGATCCAACAAGGGAAATGGTTTGGAACCCTGTCCATGTTCGTATGGGGGGCACTCGCCCAGAAACCAAGGAACGGCCCCACTTTCAGCCCGCCGGCTTCCGCCTCCCTGCTCTGCGGCATGGTGCGAGCAAAGCACACCTCGGGGCCAAAAGGCGCGCTCGAGCGCGGCGGCCATTTGGTGGTGTGTTTGCGCACCCTTCTCAAGATTTAAACTGAAACCCACAAACAAACCGGGGCCCCTATTTTTGCCAATCGTGCTAGCGGCGTTTGGTGGGTCGATTCCTGTGTTCGACAATGTGCCCATGTATAGATCCCCTGCACCGCCACTGCAAACACTGCAGCTAAGAACTTCAAGAGGTTTTAACGGGGTCAAGTGACCTTTTTCCCGAGGAGCTTGCAAAAACGAAGTGCCACACTTGGAATGGATTCCATGCGCACATGTTGAGGGCCCGAGGTCTCAGCCACTGCAGCTGCCGTCAAGGAAATGCCGATGGTTGTGCTGGCCAGTTGTGGGCCTTAGCTCGCGCCCTGCAAGCACCCTGACCCACGCAGCATCTCTCCTCACGTCACTGCTGAAAAGACTGGTAAAGCTGCACCTTGCCTTCTGTTGTTTGTTCTTTTGTGGCAGGGGTTAAGAGAAATCAGCCTTAGATTGCAAGAGAAGAAAAGATCACAGAAACTGGCACCAAAACACTTTACCACACCAACATGCTGGTGACTCCACTAAGCGACTAGGCGCCCGATAGCCAACCAGTGAGTAACCACCAGTTCACCTCGCAGTTCATCCTGTGAACCCTCGGGGTTCGCCCCCAGATTTCCACCCAAGCAACCTTAAAGTGCCCGCGCGGTTTTGCTTTTTCGTTTTTCGGGGGGGGAGCCCTTTTTTTGGGCTGGTTTCCAGGGAACACCGAGAGGCCCACCACCATTTTCGCTGCAAAACGTCTCCCCGCAAAAAAAAGCGCCCAGCGACCGGCCCAACCGGCCCTGGGCGCCCTGCCCAGGCGCAAGGCGCAGATGGCGCCCCAGCTGGCCAACAGCGCCATGCAGCTCCTCAGCGCTAAGGCCTGGCGACGCAGCGACGCGGGAGACGAACGACGCGCTGCGGGCCCGAGTTAGGAGGTGCCCTCACGTCCACCGAAAACGTGGAACCTGAAGATTCGGGGTGGACGACGAGGTTGTAAGAGGGAAAACTCTGGTGGCAGGGTACCTGGACACAAATGCAACAGCAAAATCTCTCCATTTTTGGGGCAACACGGAAATTCCGGATACCTCCGACTGTCACTAATCAACTTTCGCACAAAGGGAAATATTTGAAAACTATACGTCCAAGTGAACAGCCTTCCTAAAAGAGCTTGTCCATGTCCATGTTTGGCCCGGAACCACAACCCAAACTTTGTCTTATAATTGCGTAGGTGTTCTGTTTCCCCAAAACTTTGGTTAGATTTCCTTAGTGGTTCGAGCAATTCGTGCCCAGTGGTCGATGCCTGCTTGAAAGCAAGCAAGCATGCCCTGACTGAGCACTGAGCATCCGGGAGCACATGTAGACAGATCAGCGTTTGAAGTTTTGCTTTGGGGGGCGCTACTGTTAAAGCAATCGGACTCCCAGGAGGGGAGAAGCACTCGCTTCTGTATGTTTCAACGCGCAGGTGGAGGCAAAACGAGTTGCAGTGTCTGATGTGTATGAGCGGAGTTGTATCCAATGAATGGCTTAACTCTGCTTGACCCCGTTGCCTTCCTAGGATTCCCGCACAAATGGTCAGATTGGCAGACAAGAAACATGGCCGAAGTGTCGCGCAGGTCCGGCACGTTGCGAGTTTTGAAGGCTCTTGCAACCACGGGCGCAAGCGCGGGGGACCGAATCGGCAAGTCGCGAGTATGCCTTCAAACACTGCAGGACTTGTGGCCGACTCGGGCCCCATTGAAACTGCTGGCATCCAGCAAGGAGGCCTGGTTTGTTCAATCAAACAACTTGGGTACACTTGGGCCATCTTCTGGTCTCTCCTCACCGCCCATGAGTCGACAAACAAACACCTCAAGCATTCTAAGCCAAGAGCCTCCCTGATAGATTTCTCGGCAGCAAATTTCCGAGCCGGCCGCCGGCTGCCGGCGGGGCAGGCAAACAGGCAAAATACCCGAGAGGTCGCCCAGGCCAAGTACCAGGATTCGCCACAACTCAACAAACGTATATCAAGGCTTCAAGCTTCCTACGGTGAAAACAAAAAAGCTTTCTTGGACCTCCTTCGTGGTAGCTTCTCCACCCCTCTGGCTCAGAAGCTACTCGCATCCCAGCGAATCCCGGTGCTTTGGGTGGCATTCCCTGCTCGTGTGGCGCCGCGGGGCGCCACACCAAGGCAACAGGAGCTAGGTGTCTCGTTTTTTGAGCTGGTACTCGTTGCTTGGAAGGGAGAAATCATATTCCCTGTTTTTGGCCGACCCAGGTGTTCCCCCAAGAAAACCCCCTTGGTCTACCTCACAATCAACAGCTGCAAGCGGTTGGGTCCAATGGGAGACCCATTTTGTCAGTCCGAGCACCAGTCACAGGCACTAGACTCGTGGTTCAGAGGGCTCCGGCAATGCCGGACCCTGCCAGGGCGGAATGCAAGCCACAAACTGCCAAAACCTTTTCCATGAAGCTCTTTTTGCTTGCTACGCGCTTGGCTGGACTTGCCAGCTTTTTTTTGGCGTCAGCACAACATGCACCACAGCACGATAAGGGCCTGGCGAAGGAGTCAGCAATCATCAACATAGGGTGGCAATCAGGCGCAGCGAATCGCTCACCGCCCTGCCCCACTATGGAATGCAAGCCCCCTCAAAATCAAAATAAGTGTTGCAACAAACTGTTTCGGCAAGGAGTCGACTTGGATCCTGCGTTGAGGAGGGTGGCAATCTCCGGAGTTGCTTCCCCCAATCCCACCTCAAGAGAAGAAGTCCCGCACGGCGCGCTGCTGCTCCTTCTCAAGGACTAGCAGCCAGGACTGCGATGTTGCCCTCATCAAACTCAGCGTCTCGCCCTCCCTCGGCGGCCAAGGGCGACAGCGACAAAAGAGTAAAACATACCGTGGATGGACAAAATCCATTTCGCACCACTTTCAAACCATGGGAAATTGTTGGTGTTTACAGGGGGAATCATCATTCCAGGTTTTCTTTGGTGGTGCAGGAATTTGTCCATCCACAGTATATTCAGAGTTCCCTGAAACGTTGTGCTT